GGGCCTCCTCCTCCCACTTCGGACCGCCCATTTTTAGTAGCAACGGTGTTGCTGGCCACCGTCCGTTAAACCGCTGGTATCCAACGAATAGGTCCTGTTATTTGAGTGTACAGCGCCCACTTTTAGTGGGTGAGCCAATGAACGATAATTTGAAACTGATGTTGGGGCGTATTGCGTGTTCTCCTTTTCTCAACCCATTTCATGTACATTCCACCCCCATCACAATACTAGTAGTATCCACTACTCCATATCGTTGCGCTGGGAGCGTAGGCTGCGCCCTCTCCCTTGGTCATAGCCCCCGGGTGTGCATGCAACCTCTGAAGACCAGGGTAGACAGCGGAACAGGTTTCAAGCCCGGAGACTGACCTCTAATACGTACCCATTTCGCCATCGGGGTTCGTAATGGGTATGAGCTTGTTACTACTCATTGCCGCCTCATTTGCCGACGCTGATAGGTGTCAATAGCACTGTCCACTGCCGTCGCCATTTTCAATGTCGCTGAGTTCAATTGGCAGGTGACGACAAATATACCCTCCTCGCCCTGCCTGCACTGGTTATCCAGCCCTCCAGACTAGGAAGCTGGAAATCTCGATGCCTTCCTCGGTCTGGAACCTTCCTTTGCTACAACTCAAAGCGTTGTTGCTGCACAAAACTTAAGACGGTTTTGCTATAGCGACGTGTTGGGAGCCAAAAAGAACGTTTATGACGTCGAGGTGACGCCAGTATTTGAAGGTGGACGAGAGTGACAATTCTTGATTGGCCTGCAGACTCACTGCAGTGATGCAATCGGTGGCTAGCTGTTAATGACGAGGGCCACCCCTGTCGTTAGCCCTGTCTTCCAGGGCATGCTTCTTCGTAAAGTGGCGGTTATGTTCGTCCACTTCCTTGTTCTGCTCACCCGTGAGCTGTCTCCGAGGATCCGACCCTGAACCTGTGATGTTGGAGTTATAGACTGTAGGCTTAGGCCTCGCAGCGGGGGCCTTGGGCGAAGAGCTCTCCCCGTCTCTGACAGGAAGATTATTCTTGCTGGTTCGGGATAGTCGGGGTATAGATGTTGTCATGGAGCGGCCATGGAGGGTGGACAGAGTGTGGCGGGCGAGAGTACGCAGACCAGAGCGCATCTTGGGACTACAACCAGCAAGGGTTCAATGGCACTTGGCTTCGGATGCGCAGCGGCAAGGAAAGGCTGAGACGCACCCTTTTTGTGGGATGCAAGTCAATCATGCCACGATCCAGAAATGGCAAGAGACTAGCTATGGCATCCAGCATCATAGATGGCTGGCTACCGGAGGAGTGGTGGGTCGATGAGCACCTAAAATTCGATCTACAGAATGAGTGGCTGATGTCTCTACGCTGGGTGTGGATAATAGAAGTCCACGAAAATCGGCCCCTAGGACGAAGAGCCCGCTGCGAGAACATGTCTCGCACAAACCGTTTGGAGCATTTGAGGCTAGGGCCTCCTTGATAAACGGCCCGCCCGTGCCGATGTGTGTTCAAGGAGCTTCTAGCAGCGATATCGAGATCACCACTCTCCAATGCAGCATGGCAGCCTCTTTAGCCATTGGGGAGGCGTATCATACAGACAGCAGCAAACACATGGCTGGGTTGACGGTGCAACGAAATAGTTCCAGTACATATCAGCAGCGCCGTCAGTGGGTAGACGTTTTACTGTCGTCTATTTTGTACTCTACATGGGTACAGTAGCCTACATCTATTGAGGATAGAAGTAGAAGTAAGAAGCAAAAGCAGCAACAGCCAAAAAGTTACTCAAGCAACCTTTGCAAGATGGTTAACGGCTAACCAGCCGGCATAGCCAAGGGGTATCTGTGAAAGCTATTTTCACACGTATTAAAAACTATCTGTTATTCAACCTAGATAGAAGAGACAGAGTATCGAAACCCTCTATCCAATTTACCCGTAGCTTGTAATCTCTCTTACAATTAATTTCCAAAGAAATGGCGCCTGATTCTTAGCCGTATAGCTATTGTTGACTATAAGCACCATAAGCACGATAGCCTCTTCAGCATGGGCGGATAAGGGACACTGGAAGGCTGAGCTTGCGATTGAAAGCGAGGCAGTTGTCAAGTGACTCAAGTCTCAGGCAAGACAAGTTCTTCGTCCCCTTTGTCCACTAGCATCTGCATTGCCTTTGGAAGAGGTTTTCGAGGGGGGAGTTTATCAGGGTCAAACGTGGTCGCTCGTAATGCTTCCCTGTCAACGACCTTCCCCTGCTGCAGCTTGTTGGAATCTTTTGCCCTACCCCACCACGGCATGATAATACTGGTTGTTGAATTGGGTCAATCTGGTCTCCCGTCTGAATTTTTTTATTTTTATTTTTTATGTAGTGATGGAAGACGGCCGTCATCGGAGGACGGCGATTGTAAAACCAGGACTTACGATAACACAGTAAAATAGGCAGGTCTGTAAAACCTTGTAGTTATATAACACAGGCGTGAGGAGTCTGGCCACCAGTGCAACACAATTGCCGCAAAGCTTCTAGTACGGTAGGGTCGTAATAAGACCGATGCCACGAAAGATCTAGCTTAGTGCATTGTTTAGGTGACCACTCTAATCCATAACTAGAACCAACATGAAAAGTCCAAGTCGTTTGGTGGCAAGAATTCCTGGTGCGCGGACGTAAATCAGCACTGTATGATCTCAGTGGCCTCGTCAATAGGTTACTCTATTGCTACGGCGCTGCCATCTTCTGAGTGGATTTTAAGCCAGCTCCTGCTAAAACTTCATGGCTACGAAATGTTTGGAAACGTGTTGTCTGGGAATGACATGCCACTGGCGATGGGCGAAGAATGGATATCACAACCTTCTTCTTGGTTTGATTGATGGTCAATTGAACAGCAAGCAATCATGCCGAGCCACGCATTTTGAGTCATAAATCAGCCATTCAACTTGGAACTGACCTTTGGTGTCCCGTTAGATGCGACGGGACTAAGTGACATAAGAGCGAACCTGGCGAATAAAGTCCATCCAAGGAACAACTCAGATTTTTCTTTGAGAGCTAGGACCGCTTTAGTCAAATTACTGCTTTTGCCACCTGTAGCACTTGTCTGCTGGTTTCTCAGACACCTCGATTCGTCGTTTTGTCAGAGACACCAGCGGTGCAGCTTCTAGTATTGTAACAGACGGAGGGCCGCCTCTAATTGTCAATGCTGGCGATGAAAATATCAAGCCTCAAACTATTCACTCAGTTCAGTACCGACGAAAGATGCATAATGGAGCAACAGAAGAAGGTAGATTCCAAGGCGAGTGGAGTATACATTATCATTCCCAAATTGCGCTAAGATACTGAACGATCCGTGAGGACAGAAATCCAACAATAGGGAGGAGCGTCTCCGACAGATCTACGGTAAGGAACCAGGCCAAAATCTCCTGAACCATCAATTAGGCGTAAGTACATACCCCAATCAACCTCTTTTGCCGTTCAGCTCGCGATCTAAATCCGACCTATGTATGGGTGACTGCATGTAGGAACGACGGTACTTCGATTCTGGCGACTTCGCACTTTCGCAAACCCAGCAGCCTTCTGATATTGGAAAAGTCACGACTGGCTGTCAGCATCCCAGTCGGGGGAGCATATCTCATCCAATGTCTCCCATGCCGGGCTCCAGCAATGTAGCTGTCAGCGGGATGAAGTGTCTTCACAGTCAGGAGAAAACTAACGCGGTACAGAAGGAGAGTTACCTCCGTGAAATGATGTATCCTGCGAATGGGAAGCCACAGGGTCAGTCTCCAGATACAAGCCGTGGAGATGATGCCTAGTTTGTTATAGGCAGCGGATAGAGATAACCCCAAACGAGACACGCAGACACCAATATGGGTGCCGTCGCGCTTTTGTCTCTTTTGAAGGACTCATGACAACAGACAAAGGCTTGGGTAGATGGCCACATTTGCAGGCTCCCCACTCCCAGTTCTCGACCAAAAGTATCGCAACGTTTGCTTCATTCAATGGATTACCTCTAAGGCCATGCCCTCAAATATAGTTATGCCAAGCTCCGAAACCCAAAAAGTCTCAGTCATTCGGCACCACAGTAAACAACAGCGTCTGAGTGGGTTTGCGTGCTTCAAGACGCCGCCACTTCACTAGGTCGTCCTCCCATTGTGACTCCCAGCACTAGCAGTCGTATTGCTGAGGATTCGAATCAAGCTGAAATGCGGATCGGAAAAGACGATTAACGGCTCATTCTTTTCTGTCGTTTATAAACTACACAGCTGAGGAAAAGCATCGACGCATGGTCAAACTTAGGGCAATGGAATCGCCAGACTTCATCTTGCAGTTCAGGAGGTAGCTATGGGAATCTTGGAAAGCTGGGAGCTACAGCGTCGTCGTTGCCTGTCTTTTTTTTTTGGATGTATTTTTGGATATGATTAGCTCGGTGTCTGATAAGCTGGAAATATGTGAACTATCTTCGAGGGCCAGAGGCGGTTTTGGTGTCACGCCTGTGAGCAGTGTGGTAAATAATTGTTGGAGTGTTAGTGACTCAATGTACGCAGCTACACTATACAATGTATACTGGCTAGTATATTTAGTAGGGCTTCTCCCACTGTCTTGTCAAATCAAGTCGTCAACTCCACAATCATTGTCAACAAATAATATGACAATAAAACAATATAACTACCGCAATACCTACCATATAATACGTATTTTCTGATATTGTGACAATACAATATCAGGCGATTCATATTGACAATATATTGCTTATATTATTTGGTGAAATGTAAGGTAAAGATCACTTGTTTGCTGATCGTGGCATCGGCGAAAATATGTATGTATGTAGTTATGTATATTTTCCGTCCAGCAGCCATTGGCCACTCAGGTCCCCCAGCGGGGCACAGGGCGTGTTAGGCTAGTGGCTAAATTTTGCTACGGTGACTACGTAAACAACACACTATCTAACATGGCATCAGCTCAAAGGCGCTCACAGTCTACTCCGTTACCCGTCAGCGGGTTGTGCAAGTGATGATATCTACTGGACCAGATTGGTCTATGGTGGCGGGCTGCGGTGGCCGCCGGAGAAGAAAGGGACAAAGGAAAGGGGCACGACAGTGCTGTGATGGATGATTTCATCTAGTGGCGCGAACAGATCTTCTCGAAGAGAGAGCTTGCCTTCACCAGCTTGACAAATTTGTCGAAATCTCTGCCTATTGCCTGGTTGATCGCCACGGTCGGTGAGGGTGCGAGTCTCATCCGACAGCGCGGCTGAATCTTCCGGCAATAGAAGAGATGCGTCGGCGCCTTGCGCCGACCGCAAGAACATGTAACACAAGCGTCGTTGTGCTGGATTCTTTCGTGGTAGTCAGCAAAGTCACCGTGATGAGTCCTCGCGGCTAGGAGGTGGTGAAGCATTGTTCGTGGGAGAGCTAACTCAGGAGGGCAGCTAGAAGGGAACTTGAGGGTCAGACTCTGATACTTTGATACTTATCGGGTGCAGAGGCATCCCACCAGGCTTGGACTGCGATTTTGGACCGCTGTCTAGCGGTCTTACGCAAGAAGGCCAGTGTTGGGACTGCGTCTGCGGGTTCGGGTTGGGCGCATCCCGTCTTCGCAAGGATGTCGGCTGCTTCATTTCCTGGAATCTTCGTGTGTCCGGGTATCCAGCGGACTTCGGTCATTCGGTGCGTTTTCGCCAGGGCCTGAAAGGTCAGGAAGACCCTCTGCGACGAGTCTGATGGCTTGCCTCGTAGGCATTTGGTAGCTGCGACGTTGTCGAGGCATACCACTATTCGTTGTGTGGCAGACTGAGGGAGCCTAAGAGCGGCTTTGAGGCCCTCCAGCGCTCCTTTAGCCTCAGCGTCGAACACCTCCGCAGGGCCGAGACGTCCTGCGCCTTGGCAGACAGAGCGTCCGCTTTGGTGGACAGCATAGCCGTATCCGGCAGCACCGCTGGAGGGCAGTGAGCCGTCAGAGTACACGATAAGACTAAGCGGTGGGATGGTTCGAAGCCATCGGTCGAAGTCTTTGGCGGACTCTTCTTTGGATGCAGTTTGGAGAGGCTGCTGTATTTCGCTGCTGTACTTCCGTGGGACAAGTACAGGGCGCTGGCAGTTCACCAGCAATTTGTTCGTCCCCCTCAGCCGAGTTGGGAAGGCCTTTGGCGGAAGTTGGTATTTCAGCTTGATACACTTGATGATGGGCCGAGGCGCAATCTCGGTGGTGCGTTTGGCCAGAGGGTGTGCATGGTCCAGTGACTTGATGCGATCAGAGAAGCGGAGACGTCTTGCCTCCAGGAGTTGGTGGACGGGAGGTATGCCGCTTTCCCGGTGTAAGACAGCGATCGGTGTGGTCTTCCAGATTGGGAGAATGGCTCGGATGGCCTGCTTGAGGGCTTTGCTCATTTTCCGCACAAGCTGCTGGATTCTAGATGGTCCTTCCTTCGACGGTCGCCTCCAGCGTGGCGACGTTGTACCTGGATACCACGCTTCCACGCCGAAGAGCAGTATCGGCTCGACACAGGCTCTGACTGCCCTCTGCACAGCGCTCGGCAGGGCGCCGCGCCGGGTGTTCCCTAGGCTCCGGAGGTGTTGGGCGACCGCCTGGGCCTTGGCTGTCCACTTCTCGACATGAGTCTTGAATGTCAACTTCCTGTCCAGCCAGAGGCCTAGCCAGCGCATGGCTGCTTCTGGTTGCTTCTCCACGTCACCATGGCGGACGGGCAGTTCGGTTTCCCGCCTCCTCAGTGAAAAGTGCATGACTTCTGTCTTTTCTGGGTCGAATGAGATGCCGTTGGCGGCGCCCCAGTTCACGAGTTCTTGAAGATATTCTGACGCTGTTCGCGATGTTTCTTCCAGCGATTGTCCAGTGCAGAGAATGGCGGTGTCATCCGCGTACCCGAACCGTCCTTCGGGATTGCCTAGCCGATAGATCGGTTCGGTGTAGAGCAAAAACAAGATCGGAGACACGGGCGATCCCTGTGGAAGGCCGCACTGCAATGGCGTCGTCGGTGTCGTGATGTCTTGGTATCTGACTCTGGCGGAGCGGCCGCTCATGAACGAGCCTGCCCACCGCGCAAGATTGTCCGGCCAGCCTTGCTCACGGAGCCTCAGGACAAGCCTGTTGCACATGGCTGTGTCAAAGGCTCCTTGGATGTCTGCTGTGACCAGTGTGGCCACCTCTCCGCGTGCGAATGCCTCTTCGATACCATGAACCAGCGCGGCGACTAGGTCGACGGCCGACCGTTTTGGGAGCGCGCCGGCTTGCTGTGGGTGGAGGACTGCATAATGGATCGATGCCCACGCTAGACGGCGAGCGATCAGCCGCTCAAGGCCCTTCCCAAGACTGGAGAGCAGAGAAATAGGGCGCCATACCCTGGGGGTCGACAGATTTCTCTTCCCCAGCTTGGGGATCATGACCACTTCTGCTTCTCGAAATACACCAGGGTGATGGCCAACCGTTAGGCATCCCTGATAGAGGCGACAGACGTGTCCCCCAATAATGTCCCATACTGTTTGCAGCAACTTGACCGTGATGTTGTCGGCTCCGGGCGAGGTGTTGCCCGTCTTGATGGTAGCGTCCTCTGCTTCTTCCAGCGTGACTTCTTGGGCGAAGGGTATCTTGCGGGCCGAGTGGACCGGGATCCAGGTGTCAGTAATGTCATCCGCCACCGTGCGGCGTTCAAGAGTGCTGCGTCTCAGCGCATTCGCTTTATCCAGCTGGGTTTCGTATACATCGTCGCCAATTTGAAGCGGTGGAGGCTGGAAGGCTCCTGGTGATTTGAGCCACCGGACTGCCTTATAGACCGATGCGCTATCCGAGAAGCCGTCAATGAGGTTGCGCCAGTACTGCCGCTTGGCACGGCGGACCACACGCTGGAACTCTCTTCTTGCTAGTTGGACTTCCTGGCTGAATCCCAGAGGGAGAATTCTTCGTATGGCGCGGTACTCCGCGGCGGCTTCGGCGCACTCGTCGGTCCACCACGGCGCACTTCGCGTTCCTTTCCGTACGGGGCGACCGGCAGCTCTGGCAGCCGACTGGAGGAGGTCAACAAGCGCCGCGGCAAGCGTGTCAAGCTGCGAGGCTGTTGCCGTGTTCTTGGTATTCGACAAGCTCCGGCGGCAACGAGCTCCTTGAAGCGTTTCAGCTCTCTCTTCAGTCGTTACCCGCACTTTGCCCGGGACCTGTGGCAGGCTCAGGCTAACATCGGGAAGTATGAGACTTAGAGTGAAGTGGTCAGAGCTCGTGGCGAGATGGTCTTCCACAACCGCGGATGCCAAAGCAATGTTGGAGAAAGCCAGGTCGATTGTGTTGCCATGCGGGTTTGTCGGCACGTCCGCCGTATTCAAGATATTCAAACCGTTTTCCGCTGCCCAGGTGGCAATGTCCTCTCCTCGGCCCTCCAGTCGTCCGGTTTGCCAGGAGTAATGCTTAGCATTGAAGTCGCCAGCCACAAGGGTCCTTTCTGGTGCTGACCACCGCAGCAGGACGTCCAGGGAGACGTCATAGCGCGGTTGGCGATAGAAGTTTACGATTATGACGCCATTCACCGTAAGCCACAGGATGTCTCGGGTGAGTGTCGGTCGTTTCTGGTCTGCGAGAACCCTAGGGCGCATCGGGGACAAAGACGGTAGAACTGGTAGGGTGCAGGTGAAGAAGTTAGTCAGGGCTTGGGGTTGACAGGTTCCTGAGGCAGCTCCATGACTGCCACTGGAGCACGCTGTTGTTCTGCGACGGCCTCTGATGCTGGCTGGCCGCTAGGTTCCGTCTGAGATTGCTGTCGCTGCTATGTAGCCTGGTGTTGTTGGAAGAGTTGGGAGCCCATTTGTCTGATCAATGCACGCTGTTCTCTGGGGAGACGATGGAACAGACCATAGGCTCTCTTTGGCCGCGCCGGGCATGTTGCGAGGTCCGCAGTGTGCGGCCCGAGGCAGTTGGCGCACTGCTCGGCGGCAGTACAGCTTTCATTGTCGTGGTTTGTCTTCCCGCAGCGTTTGCATCGTGTTTGTCTGTTGCACGCATGTCGTGTGTGGCAGTCCCAGCAGTTCTCGCACTGCCTGGGAGGGTTGGTTCTTTCGATGTGTCTGGCTACTCGGCTGGTGCCAAATAGGCTCCAAGGTCTTTTTGTCGGTTCAAGGAAGGAGATGATGAGTGTCTTGTAGGGAAGCTGTTCGTTGTCACGGCGAGGGACTCGGATGCTGACCGGCGTGAGTCCCGTCTGGCTGTTTATCTCGTCACGGAAGGCAGCGTCGTAGTTCAGTTCGTTTCCGTAAAGGTCGGTAAATCTTCGAGGGCAGTTGTCTACGGCATAAGTGTACCATTTTTGGCTGGTCTCAACGGCCGTCGCGCCGAGATCATCGGCCCATTCGGTTTGGCGTTCTACAAGCAGATCACGGGTGAGTTTGTCTGCGGCGCGGATGGCCCATCTGGTGTTCACTTGGAGGACTTGCGGGATTCGATTGAGCCCAAGGCGTCTTGCTGGCCACATGAGCTCGGATAGCGTAGCCGATGTGATTCCTGGCCGGAGCGTCGGCTTCAAGGCGGACGAAGACACGGAGGTCTTCTCGAGCTGGGACGGGCACCGGTGGACGTTGCCCTTGGCGATAAGTGGCAGCAAGTTTGTGTGGTGGGTGGTGGGCGGTATTTGTGGTGACAAACCGAGTCGGAGAGGCAGTGGCATTGGCGGCAATGCTGCTATATGTTTGGTGCAGATGCGCAATTGGTAACAATCCAAGTGGGTCAGGGTGCTTCCTCGACTGGGGCGGAATATCAAATCAACCAGGATGCCACAGATCCGTCGTCAGTCTCTCGCCCAACTTTTAAGTAGTCAATCACCTTAGTTGGCGCTAATGTCTGCGGCATGGGGAGACCAGCCATTGACAGTTTCAATTGAAGCATTGCCATGAATTCGCACGCTACGCCACAAGATCTCTTAAACAATGCATCTGCCAACAACTATGCGGTACACATATACCCATTAGCACGGCTTCTTGTGGCGCCTTACGAGAGTGTCTGTGTGATTGCACTTACGCTGCTTTTAGCCTCCGGTAGCGCAACGTGTTGCGATTGAACTTGCTTCTATTAGATTCTGGCTGACAGCTCTCATACATATAAATAGCTAGTGGCACGGTCCGTGCCACTAGCAGCAACTCTTCTGCGTGTCATGCCTAGTACATGAATCGTACCAAGTCAACACAACGTACCAGCAAGCCTCGAGGGCCACCTTTTGCATCAATGATTTTATGACATTAAGCAATTACGTCAAGTCTGCTTGTTCAACTAACACAGGCAGCCTTGTCCAAAACATAGTAATGCGCCAAAATATATTGCCAAAAATAGTCTGATGCCTATGCATGCGACAGGCTCTGACACTCTCCACAGCCACGATTTAAAGGTGTTCGCTCAGACGCGGACGGAGACGGCGAATACCCACCCGTGATATGGTCATTGGCCGCCGTGTCTTCGGCCGCCGTGGTAGAGGAGTATGGGGGGTGTGAGCTGCCGCGGGATTGGAGGAAAACCTGGGGGTGCTTGTGTATTATATGCCTCAGTCGCCCTCCTCGGACCTTCTTCATGAACGCAAGCTGGTCACAGATATCCTCCAGTGCCAGATCCCGCTTGTAGTGGCGGCTTTTCCCGGAGACCCCCAGGTCAGAACCCCTTGCGCGGGGCCAAATACACAAAACAAGCTTAGAGATGACTTTATCCGGGATCAGACGAATCATTACCCCTACCGGCACTGCAAGAGCTCCAAGCAAAACGCTCACTGACCACTGGGACAGCTGATCAAGACGCTGCACGGAAAACGCTTTCCCGCCTAGGAAGATAATCAGGATCTGGCCACCGATGATGACAACCTGAATGACGATAAACCATCTGTTGCTTAGGATGCCCTCCATAATATTTAGACGGTTGTCGATCCGGCGGCAGCTGCAGAGATCAGTAAATAATTCTACCAGGAAGGAACCCCACTACTTGCTTGTACTGGTTGAATATCTGCATGAAGACAAACGTATTGAACACTACTGTCTGCATACATCTGCTATCCCACTTTAGGAAGATAGATTGGCCATTAAAGTGTAGGACGAGCGTCACAGCCAATTGATAGACAGCCTGGCCAATGATCATTTTCCACATTGTCAATGTGATAAGCGGCGCGGATTTAGGATCAGGTTTGCGATCAAGAACGTAAGGCGAGGGGGGATCCGTGGCTAGAGCAAGGTTAGGAACCTTGTAAAAACCCAAAACATGGGGAAAGAATACCAAGTGCAAGAGCAGCGAAAGTGTCCATGATGAGATTGACCCACAACAGCTGCACTGCGCTGAGGACAGAATGCTCGTCATTACTAGCAACAGCAGAAACAAAGGTAAGAAGAACAGCAGTGATGTTAACAGTTATTTGGAACTTAATAGATAATTAGTTTCTGACCCTCGCACAGTTTATGGTGATTTTACCTGGAGGAACTTTTTGACAGCATCATTAACCGTGCGTCCCCACGCAATCGCCTTGACAATTGATGCAAAATTGTCGTCCATTATGATAATATCTGACGCCTCCTTGGCAACTTCAGTGCCTGTGACGCCCATTGCAAAGCCAACATCAGCAATCTTAAGTGCACGCGCGTCATTTGTCCCATCCCCGGTCACAGCGACAGTCTCGCCAAGTTTCTTGAGCTGGTCGACCAAAATCTTCTTGTCGTCTGGACTTGACCGCGCGATGATCTGCAGACTTGGGATGAGCTCATTCATCCGACCATGGGTCAACTGGCGAAATTCAGGTCCTTCGATAGCAATACCACCAGGCGTGTAGATGCCGCATTGCTGAGCGATGGCTTTGGCTGTGACAATATTGTCCCCAGTCACCATCCTGACAAAAACTCCGGCGTGCTGACACTGGCGGACAGCGTCAGGGACTCCTTCACGGACGGGGTCCTGGATGCCGAAGATGCCAAGCATCGTCATGTCCTTGAATATTGGCTCAAAGTCTGTCATCTCACCGCTGGTTTCGGGCGTCGGTGTCTCAAGAGGCGGCCATTTTTCGAAGTCCCGGTGCACAAGTGCAATACATCTCAGCGAGCGAGACGCGTAGTTGGTGATAATGGTATCTAGCGCGGTCCTGTTGTCCTCGGAGAGCGGTGCCTCCGCCAGACCATCGGTTGCATGCTGCACGACCCGTGCCGATTGGCGGAGTAGGATTTCAGCAGCACCTTTAACCAGCATCCGATACTTTCCACAGTCCATCTGAACCACCACCGCCATGCATTTACGCCTCGAGTCAAACGGCAACATCTGAACGATCTTTGCGTTTGCTCTCTCCTCGCTTACTGGCCCAAGTCCGAGTTGCTCTCGCGCGAATGACAGCAATGCCGTCTCCGTCTTAGATCCGATAAAAGTCGTCGCTCCGTCATGGCCACTCTCGAACGCTGTCGAGTTGAGCACTATTGATCGGAGTAAGTGGTTTTTGATCGATGGCGAAAGCGTAGATACAAACTCAGAGGCCGAAAGAGTCCCTGGGCCAGGTGTGCTGGCCGCATCGTTCGAAGACGATTGCTCGTCAAATCGTGAAGTGGTGCCTAGAGTTGCGGCCACGACGCTCATCTTGTTCTCGGTGAGCGTGCCAGTCTTATCGGAGCAAATGGTCGTGGCATTTCCCATAGTCTCACATGCCCGGAGCAAGCGCACGAGGTTGTTGTCCTGGATCATCCTTGTTGTTGCAAAGGCAAGAGCGAGGGTGACTGCCAATGGTAACCCTTCGGGCACTGCTACAACGACGACAGTGACCGCCACGATGAAAATTCTCAAAAAGGCCTGGCCTTTAACCTCCGCACCGCCTTGAATATTCCTGAGGCGGACCAGAAATTTGATGAATAGCACTACGAACAGTATCAGGCCTGAGGTAAGGCCGATCTTGGCAATATAATCTGCCAGCAAGTTTAGCTTGACTTGCAGCGGGGTAATCTCGCTCTCATCCCGGAGAGACATCATGGTTCGGCCGTAGGTCGAGTGAACACCAGTAGCAGTGACTAGGAATGTTCCCGCACCCTCTTCGACCTTGGACCCCGAAATGATGAAGGGATCCATCTTCTTCGGGTCTTCGTTCTGCTCAACTGCCGTACAGACTTTGTGGCTGGGGTTTTTCCGAAGGAGGTCTGACTCGCCTGTTACCAAAGACTCGTCACATTTGACGCCCTGTCCGTCAATCAGGATCCCGTCGACTGGGATTATATCGCCTGGTTCCAGGCACATCACGTCCCCGACCATAATATCATAGGTCGACACCTCCATCCTCTTGCCCGATCGGATTACCTTCACAGATCGATCCTCTTTCTTCCGGTTAAGCTTCGCGAATTGCCGTTCCTTCTGCCAATCATTCGCTGCACCGACGATGACGACAACAACAATAGCAACGATGATTGCTGCTCCCTCCACCCATTCCACGCCCGTTCCTTGCAGAGATTGCGGAATACCCACGGCGAGGGAGACAACAGCGGCAATTGATAGTAGGATTAGCACCTTATCATTGTACGCGATCCACACGAGCTCCCAAATAGATTTGAGCTCCTTCTCGGGGAGCTTGTTGATTCCAAACACCCGTCTCCGATCGGTAAATCGGCCCGGTGGCTGCTTCATTGGTAATTCGTCAACACTGGCATCATGCGGTGGCACGAATGTTCGTAAAATCACGTCGTCAAAAGTCACCGTGCCATCCAACACGGTCTCGTTCATGCTCAAGCCGCTCCTCACGTCGGTTCGCAGACCTTTTTCCAGCCCACTCAATGCACCAAGAGCGCTGAAATTCTTGAGGTTTAGGAGTTTATTTAGCTGGCCGGGCGAGAAGGCGAACTTGTTGTTTTCCACTTGAAAGTCGGAACTCTCGCTGGGTTTCGGTGTGAGTGTGTCTACTTCATCGGGGTCGTCATTGTCGAGCAGTCTGCGAGACGACGTGCGCGCATCGGTATCTCCATAATAAATTGATGCAGGGGTGTTGTTCTCTGGCTGTGTTGACCGGTCACGAGGTGGTGTAAAGGGCACAGACGGTAGGGGGGAATGAGGATCGGTCATGTAATTTTTTTTTATTTTTTTTTTGGCGAGAATGGATCGTGGGGTGAGGTCCTGCGGTTCTGTTTATCTTGGCCTTTGGTAGAGGCAAACAGTCAACGGAAGGGTCAAATGCACAGGGTTTATTCGAAATGGAGTAAAAGGGTAAAGATGTGAAGAATCTGACAAGAACCCGAGTTGATCTTTTATTGCACGGCCAGGCTTAGAAGTGCCCGGATACAGAGCTCCAGTTGCTGTCGTCATTTCTGATTGTATGTCTTAGCAAAAAAATATGAAAATGAAAGGCGTTCTGATGCGTCATGATTACGCGACATGAGACGGGGTGGCGGCCCCCTCACTTCCGATTCACGATTGGTTTTCTCTCGCCCAAACCCTGTGAACTGGGCAAAAGCCCCTCCTCCATTCTGGTTTCTCCCCGATCTTCCACGCACTGCTGATTCAAAGGAGCAATCGCTATCATAGCAAAGATAAAGCGAACGAATGATTTCAGTTGGCCCCCAGGGTACACAAGACAATCCAGGGTTCTCTACAACCCAACGTTCTCTACGAAAGGACAGACTGAGGACTTCGTGGCAATTGGTTGTAGATGCTACTGCTGTGCAGAGATGGGAAAAGCATCGT